AATTGACAACTGGGTAGCACTAACAAGTCCTTGATGTTTCTTGCCCAAGCAGCTGGGGGCGTGGGGGGGGTCTTCATATTTAACTAACTTTACTCAACAGAAGTTTCATCCCACTGACATACCTAGTTCAAATTAAATTGTTTATACTTGCAAAAGAAAAAAATGTCAAGGTAGCTTTTATTGTATGCAAAAAGGATTTAATTTATTTTACTTTGAAAAAACATTGCACCCTTTACAGAAAACATATACCCTGAGATTTTGAACCTGTTCAAAGAAAGGGCACTTGTATTGACAAACACTAACCGGCATCAAAGTTTCATCAAAGACATCTGCCGATGTAAAAGTCTAGCTATTTTTAATTTTATCAATTAGGACTGGGTTTGACTGCATACAAAAGAAACTGAGTGTGCCATTGTAGGTTCATCCTGAGCTGAAAAAATAAAGTACCATGCTGGTAAGTGATGTCGATAATAGGGAAGCTGTATATGTGTTGAGGCTGAGTGTATATGGGCAATCTCTGTATCTTCCTTTTAATTTTGTTTTAAATATCTTGCTGCTCTAAAATAAATAAAGTCTCAAAAAGTGAAAAAAAAAACCTTAAAATAATATTTTTAAACCAAGGTAAAAGTTTATTTTTCTCTTATGTAAAACAAGTCCAGACATAGAAAGCCTAGATTTGGAAAGATGGTTTCACAAATGACACAGACTCCTTCCTTTAGCTGCTTTGCCTGCTTAGCACATGGCCTCCATGCTCAAGGTTACCTCATGGACTAAAATAGGTTCTGGCGTTCCATTCATCACATCCAAATTCCAGTAGGAAGGAAGAAAGAAAGTGGAAAAAAACCCAAGTGCCAGTTGCTGAGCTAAGTTGGCATCTTTTAAGCAGCCTTCCCAGAAGTCCTTTGTAACATTTATACTTACGTATCCTTGGCTAGAATTTAACCATATGACTATACTTAACTGCACAGAAGTCTAGGAAATGGATTCTTTTCTCTGACCACATATTAATGTCCAGAATAAAATCAAAATTCTATTACTAGAAAAAGAGAGATTGGGTGACAATTTACGGTTTGTATCACATCCACTCTGTTATATGTGATGATTTTGTGGGAAATGTCATGCAGTCATTAAAAATAATGAATGAGAACTATGCCAATTGACTTGGGGTGTGTGGTGGTGTGGGGGGAGGATTTCCACAAGGGTTGCTGGGTGAGAAAAGCAAAATGTATAAAAGTGATAAAATATGATTCCATTTTTGAATAACCTAAAGGGGCAAAAATCCCTATGTATAGGTATACAAGTGAGATGTAAGTATATGAAAATGGGAAATTGCTAAAGGATACACAGTAGGTTGTTAATGTTTTCTCTGGGCAAGGGGAGAAGGGATGAATACCTTTGTGTTGTTTCATTGTTTCACTTATTATGATAGGAATTTTTGTAATTTGAAAAATATAAAAATGTTTTAAAAAGTGGAGCAGCCTCAGATCCAATCTTCAAAACACTGCCTGCCACATATGGAAATTCACAGTAAGCAAGTCCTGGATGGAGTCTGTCATAGAGGATCCTAGTGAAGGACTTAGTAGGTCCTCAGTACAGTTTACCTAAGTTGTTCTAAATGATTTATTTAGGGAAATTATTTACTTAGAACACGTGTTAGCTACATAATGTTAGAAAGAACATTGTATCCTTTTTGCTAATGGGTGTTCACCAATGTTTATAAATATTTAAATATGAGTATAAGGTACAATAATATCACAATGGATCTTTGTGAATTATCTGGAATACTAACATTTATGAAATTAAACAAAATAACCTTTATGAATTGTATTTAATATTTACCTATTTAATTCCATTTAGGCCATGAATCTTTCATGAAAAAGTCTTGTTGGGGAATTAGGCACACCTTGCAAGAATAAATCATTCTGTCAGCTTGGCTTCCTCAATATTTCATGAAGAAAAAACTTCAAAATCATGTACAACAAATCATATTATAAATTATATTTGATCCAGACATAATAAAGAATATGAAGAGCAAGAAAAAATAAAGAAAAATAAATTAATTCCCTACCTACCTGAGCTGAATGTCTATTTGGCATGGAAAATGTCCAGTGTAGTGACCTAAGAAAAAAGCTAGCAGCTAGGAATGCTGAGACATTATTGTTCCAGTACTATAAGGTCAAAATCATTTTCAATGGCTATTTAACAGTGATATCATAATAATTTTGAAAGTAAAATTTCATATTTAAATTTATATCTAAATAGTTCAACCAATAATGGCAATATTTGTCTTTTGCCTTGGTTGTGGCCAAATATTGATTTTCTAATACTAGGTCATTGACCATCAGACCAAAAAGTATTCATTGGAAAATGTCCTATTGGATAAACAGTGATGCTTGACTGCAAACCTCAGGAACATTAATATGCATAATAACAACTTTGGAAGATTGTAATAAACGTCACTTCCTTTCTGAATAGTATCCCTATCCCTCAATACATGTTCTGAACCAGAAATGGGCATTTTTTTTAATTTTTTTTTTTAATATTTTATTTATTTATTTGACATAGAGAGAGAAGCAAGAGCAAGCACAGGCAGACAGAGTGGCAGGTAGAGGCAGAGGGAGAAGCAGGCTCCCTGCCAAGCAAGGAGCCCGATGTGGGACTCAATCCCAGGACGCTGGGATCATAACCTGAGCCGAAGGCAGCCGCTTAACCAACTGAGCCACCCAGGCGTCCCAGAAATGGGTGTTTTAAATAAGCAACAGGGGCTTGTTCTGTATGTTCCAGGATCATGTTTTGAGAAATACTGCTGTAACAGAAAGCTCTGTTTTAAACCTGGTAATCACCGTCATAGACTGCCTTTATGTTTGTGAAATAAAGATCTGGTATGCAAATGGCACTGTCATATACACAGAGCTTAGAAAATAATTATGCTGTAGTTTAATACATTAAAAACAACAACAACTAGAATAGGACTCAAAGCTCTAGTCCTGCACCATATTTTTCTCACTGATTAAGCTTAAATATCAAACCAGTTATTTTAAGCCACTTATTTCACCAAGTAAAAAGATGGCTTTATTCAGAAACAGAAGACAAGTGCAATACCAGACAAGGGAGCTAGCAACACCATAGGCAAACCTGGGGGACAAAGAAGAGGCTCTTTTATAGAGGTAATGGCAGGGGGGTTTGGAAAGACTGGTAGAAACAAAAAGTCTGTTGGAGTAAACTGAGAGCTTGTAGGGGCTTCTCATTGGCCAAGTTGTGACCATCTCTCATTGGCTGGGCTGTTGGTGGGGCATTGAATAAGGAAAGGCTTTCTTCCTCCTGCTGGAGTAGTAATGTAATATCTACCTACAAGGTCTGTCTCTTCCTGTTGGGCCTGTTACTGAATAAAAGTAGTGGGGTGTGAGATTCTCTCTGCCCAACTTTTCAACTCCATTATAGTGAGGTTCCCCTTTATCATCACAAGTGAAATATGACCAATGAAATGGAGCTGGTAGATCAATCTGGGTATCTTATTATTATTTTTTTAAATGTTTTAACTGATTTGTAAGACGAGGTTGGTACAATTTCTCTGTGGTGGGAGTATAGCTGGGGTGGGCAGTTGGCATGCAGGAATAAAGAAGAATAAAACTGGAAAGCAGTGAGCAATTATACTCAAGAACCATGAATCCAATCCCATTAATAATACTTTATAGCTTCCAGTTTCTAAATTTATTTTCAGTGAAATAAAAGCACCTAAGTGATGTTGTGCTGGGAATCAGGATATGGGAACCATTATAGAATATCTTAGTTCCAATTCCATAAACCTGTATCTTCAAATAAAACCCCAAATGCAAATCTCAATAACTTTGTAAATCACTTTTTTTGTATTAGCTCTTTCTCTCCATTGTTAGCCAAAGCTAGATATGGGACAGGTTCCAGGCCAGGACAAAAATGCAGCATTTTATCTTCCCCATGCTATGATCATCTTGCTCTGAAATTAAGCGGACCCTTGGCAATTACCTGCTGGGGAAAATTTTTTCTGATTAACTCTTCATTAATTGAGTTGACCAAGTAACTTGAAAACTTTTGGTCTTTTCCCCTTTTTGCTACTAGTCCAGTACCTACCTAGTCTTCATATCTCAGACACCATAAACATAGAAAGGGTTCTTGAAAAGTCTGGTCCTGACAACCAGTTTGACAGTGCAGAACTGAAGCCAGTTTTTTTGAATTGTTGCTCAAAGTGAAATTGGCTTGGGTTAGTGGTAGAACTAGGACTCAAGTTTCGGGATTCTGACACATAAAAAATGAAGCTCTTGGGAGTTTTTTTCCAAAACACCCTGTGTAAGTGATTTAGAATGGTCTTAAGGGGCGGAGGAGATGCAAAATGGTGCCATCTTCTGCCCTAAGTTTGGCACTCAGTAACAGCAGTTCTTATGGAGGGTGGATAGCAAGAACATTTGAACTACAGGCAGCCCTTAACTTCAGTCCTGGTTCCAGTGATAGTTGTAACACTAAAGACCCACGTGCCTTTTTTTTTTTTTTAAGGTTTTATTTATTTATTTGAAAGACAGAGATCACAAGTAGGCAGAGAGGAGGAAGCAGGCTCACCGCCGAGCAGAGAGCCCAATGCAGGGCTCGATCCCAGGACCCTGGGATCACTACCCGAGCCGAAGGCAGAGGCTTAACCCACTGAGCCACCCAGGTGCCCAAGACCCACATGCCTTTTGCAAAGGCACTTAATTTCTTTGAGGGAAGGCAACTAGGACAGACATGCTCAGAGTTGCCCAATTACTCTGATCTCTTTCTTTCCCCCACTTGGGAATTGTAAACATTAAAGGGTAATTTGGTAAATTACTTAGAATAATGTCTATAGCGTATTAAGGTTCCATATTCTCGATTATCATTATACTGCCAGGCACAAGCACCGCCCCCAGGGCGCGCACCTTAAAGCGCGCGCTCGTCTGGGCGTGCCGTCACCAGGACGGCCCCGCAGATGGGGGCGTTTGCTTCCGGGGGCAAAGGCACTTTACTTCCGGCAGGAGCGGGCGGTGAGGTAGACGGCAGCTACTACCCACTGTGTCGGTCCGTTTAAGTCAGGCATGAAGATCACGAGGCAGAAACATGCCAAGAAGCATCTCGGGTTCTTCCGCAATAATTTCGGAGTTCGCGAGCCGTACCAGATCCTGCTGGACGGTACCTTCTGTCAGGCGGCGCTGCGCGGCCGTATCCAGCTGCGGGAGCAGTTGCCCCGCTACCTCATGGGGGAGACACAGCTGTGCACCACCAGGTGGGCCAGGCGGTTCTGGAGAGGAGGTCCGGGGAGGAGGCCCGGGGATCCTGCGGGCGTGGTGGAGGCGGGGCCGCGGCGTGCAGAACGCCCACCCGGGAGGAATTGACAGTGGAGTGGGGGCACTGAGGAGGTTAGGCGGGCGTCTGCAGCGTAGATAGAAAGTACAGTGCCCTGCGGCTCTTCCCGTCGTTGGCCTGGCAGATGAGCCCATGCTTTCTAGTGCGACCCGGCTTCGAATCTAGGTCCCAATCCTACCCGCTTTGTGATCTCCTGCGAGTTCATCTCCGAGCCTTGGATTTCTCATCTGTAAAGCAGAGACCGTACCTCAAAAGGTTGCCGGAAGGATCAAACGAGGTATCGTGTACGTAGAGCCCTCGCTGGTATCCAAAACCTGCCCCTTTTAAATGGTTGCTCCTATTTGCCTCGCTTTTTCTAGTGTGAACGAACAATTTTCAAGCCTCACAACTGCTGTGTGAGCGAACATCTTCGATTCCCAGAAGGAGCATTCAGAACTCGAGGTTAAGACCTCTGCCCATGCTCGTTTGTTTATTCGGCTGTCTTTATTAAGCACCAGCTGTATGCCGGGCAGTGCTCTAGCCACTGAGGATAACTTGGTGACCAGGACAAACGTCCAGCCCTCATGGGCCAGTGAAGTGCATCAGTCAGCCTCCATGGGTGTGTTTTGACTCCAGTGTGTTGTGACTCCCTCGGTGTGAGAACACTTAAGATGGGGCCTCCTGGACATAGGAGGGAGGATGGAATCATGGAAGGTTTCATAAAGGAGATAACTTTTGAGCTTCTCTTAAACTTTTGAGTTTTCTTAAAGACTAAAGGGAGCGAGGCAAGGTAGAGTCTGACAGGGGCTGGCTGGAGCTTAAGAAATTTTTGACTCAGTATTTATAATTTTTTATTTCTCCTTTTCTTCCTCCCTCCCTCTCTGTTTCTCTTTCTCTCCTTTTCTTTTCATCTTTCGGTTCTGAGGGGAGGACTATTTTGAGTGACAGAAAAGATAGAAGTGACTTGTGAGGCCTCTTGAATAAAGAAATGGAGCTGTCAAATGCCTGGAAAGGAGGTTAGAGCACAGAATGTAGTTGGAAGTGAAGCTGGGAAGAAGGTAAAAACTTAACAGCATGAACTACTAAGAAACTTAGGGGTTCCCGTTTCCATAGTAGCTTATTTACTTTAAAAAAATAGAAAAAGAAATTAAAATGACCCATAATACCACACCAACGAATTACCCGTCAACGTGCTGTATCGTCCATCCGGTTCTTTACATATACACATGCACACACACACACACACACAAACACAGGAATGGGCTCTTACGGGCGCACAGTATCATTTCCCTGCTTTTCTCACAATAGTGTTGCTCCGTGAAGAGCTTTCCATATTCAAGTAGCACCTCAAGATCATTGTTTTTTATCCCCTGGTTTTTTATCCCCTTAGCCTTTAGGGCTGCGGGACAAGTCGTTAGTTGGCTTGTGCCCTGAGTTCATCACTTAAGGCTACACAAAACCTGTTCATTTACCTCTGTGTGCCAGAGAAATATTAACATTGTTTAAAAAGATTTTATTTATTTATTTGACAGAGACGCAGCGGGAGAGGGAACACAAGCAGGGGGAGTAGAAGAGGGAGAAGCAAGCAGCCTTCTCGAAGAGTAGGGAGCTGATGCGGGGCTCGATCCCAGGACCCTGGGATCATGACCTGAGCCGAAGGCAGAGGCTTAACAACGGAGCCACCCAGGTGCCCCGAAATATAAACATTTTTAATATACTGATAGAACAAAAAAAGTTTGGGAAGTACTGCATGAAATTATACTCTATAGCATTTTTTCCCTAAAGAAGTTATTTTAACTTCCAGAATATTTTATACATACACAAAAGTAGAGTAGTATAATGAAATATCTTATCACTCAGCTTTTGGAATTGTTGACATGTCCAGTCTTGTTTCATTTATCCACTCCCACCACCCCCAGCACACATCATACTGATGGTTTATTTTAAAGCATATTATTTTGTATTCTGTCAATTCTTGATGTGCATAATGAAGAGAGAAATGCTGTCAGACCCAACAGCTGTCTTTTAGAAAAGCTAACTGCAGAGGTGTGAGGGCTAAGTTGGAGAAGCAAGAGCGTGATGGCAGGCAAACTCATTTTGTGGTTGTCCAATCCAGAAATAATGGGAGCCCCAACTTCATAGAGGAAACTGCAAAGAGAAACCCAAGAGTTCTGCAAAGAGACATTATGAGATAGATACCAACAGCCGAGAGTTAGAGTTAGAACTCTAACAGCTGATGGGGTAGGGGTAGGGGTGATGGAAGAAAAGGTCAGTTAGGATTTCTGACTTAGGCCCAGCTTCTGGGAAGTTCATGTATTCAAAGAGATCGCATGCCCTGGAGAAGTTTGGAGGCAGGGAAATACTTTGATTTTAGACATGAATTTGAAGAGCTGATGTACATCCGCAGGAAATATTCAATAAATACTTGGTAGTTTGGGCCTGAAACTCCTAAAAAGAGTTCAGAACTGATGACTAAGAAAGCAAAATCTCTCTTCTTGAACAAAAACTAAAGGAATGATAAAGGGAGTGAGGCAAGGTAGAGTCTGACAAGGGCTGGCTAGAGCCTAAGAAATTTTTGACTCGGTATTTATAAGATTTTCTTTATTTCTCTTCTTCCTCCCCCCCCCCTTTTTCTTCCTTTCCTTTCCTTTCCTTTCTTTTCTTTTCTTTCATGGAAGAAGTGCTTGGGGAGCTTATTAGAATGCTAATATTTGACTCCTCAAGAGGTGCAGATTTGGGGATGAGAAAGGAGTAGAAATTATGCAGTTATCACTATGTCAGTTTGATATGGGTAGTTTTTAGCTGACGCTTTGCAAAGCATTGACTTACATTAGTATGAAAATGCAGAGTGAAAAAGGAAGTTGTGATTGTTATTAAGCTGGTGACTTGAACATTTTTACTTTTCTGTGCTGAAAATAGTCTAAACGTGTACCCATTTGTACTTGAAGTAGAAGCATATACCACAAAGGTTGGGGCAAGGCATCTGTTGTCAACTACTTGGATTCACATTTTGGCTTTACTGCTTATTAGCTGTGTTTGAGCATGTTACTTGAAATCTCTCAGAGTGAGTTGCTCTAAAATATGGATAATTTTCAAGTAAGGGGCTTAACTAGAGCTGTTTTGAGATTGAAGTGAGAAGTTATGTAAAGACATTCAGCGTGCTCTCTGACACATAATAAATGCTCAGTAAATTTCAACTGTTATTCCTTCTACTCAGTGGTTGTATTTTCCAGGTTTTTTAAAGAGTGAAATAGATATCATATGACTGGGGCCAACATAGGACAAATTCAGATTGTAATGGTGTAGTTTTAATTTGTTCAGAATTGGGTAATTTTTTAATACTTGCTTTATGTGAACAACTGATAGGTATCTGTTACAATGGTGAGCTGCTAATAACATTTTTTCCCCAGGTGTGTGTTAAAAGAATTAGAAACATTGGGAAAAGACTTATATGGGGCAAAACTGATTGCACAAAAATGCCAAGTCCGAAATTGTCCCCATTTCAAGAACGCTGTGAGTGGATCAGAATGTCTACTGGCCATGGTTGAAGAGGGAAATCCTCATCACTATTTTGTGGCAACACAGGTGATACTGCTTTTAAAACCAGAGTCAATTTTAATCTTTTAATCATTTCTATCTATATTTCTTTTCTTCTTCTTTTTTTTTAACCTTTCTATCTATATTTCATTTGGAGCTACATATAATCAGGAAAACTTAGGTGGAAGTGCATTGTGAAAATGTTTTGACTTTTTAAAATGCAGGCTTTTAAGTTAATTTGCAGTTGATAAAAGCAGTTGTCATTGGAGAATTTGAGGAAAGAACCTTAAGCTTTTGATTTTTCTTAAGTTTTTTTAAAAATAAAATTATTGACAAAGAGATGTGATTGTATGTTTCAGGGTTCTTAAAGGGAAAATAAGTAGAGCAAAAATTTTATATTCTGTATTCATCAGTGTTTTCTTGTGTTCCTGTATTTCATATTTTTTCTCAAAAAGTCATGTTTCATATTATTTGAAATTGTGCTACCAATAAGGAACTGTTTTACACTTTTAAAGATCCGGGGCAGAGGAGTGGTGTGGTAGGAGAGACTCTCAGCGTTGATATTATCCAATAAGTGCATGTACATACAGATTTGCTTAAATACGCTTTTAGAATTATAAAATCACACAGTTAGATGCAGAGCTAGTTCTAGAATCTGAGTCAGCCAATTCTTACATTGTTGCCATTCCTGCAACCAGTGTTAAAATTCCTAACCCTTTTCAAAGATATGGAACTTTGCCTAACATACTTACCTTTGCCTTAGTTTGTAATTTGTGGGCCTAGAATATTGGTAAGTCTAGTTCACCTTAGTTGGCATTTAACTGTGCTCAGATTTCATGTCTGTCTGCTTTTTTTTTTTTTTTTTAGGTCATAAAGTGTATTCCCGTTAGTGGGACATACTGATTTGAAAAGTAAAACTTGGCGATCTCTTTTATTTTTACTATTTAAGGCATCTTATTTGACTGGCATATTTGAACTGAACAATTCTATTTTTCCTTTTAATAGGATCAGAATTTGTCTATGAAAGTAAAGAAAAAGCCTGGAGTTCCTCTCATGTTTATTATTCAAAACACTATAGTCTTGGACAAACCTTCTCCCAAAACAGTTGCCTTTGTTAAAGCAGTAGAGTCAGGTCAGCTTGTCTCAGTGCATGAGAAACAAAGTATCAAGCAACTCAAAGAAGAACAAGGTTTAGTGAAAAACCAGGAACAGAGAAGAAGAAAAAAACGCAAGAAAATAAGTGGCCCCAATCCTCTGAGCTGTTTGAAGAAAAAAAAGAAAACACAGGACCCAGAATCATCTGCCTCTGAAAAGAAAAGAAAAAGAAAAAGAATCCGGAACAGATCTACCTCAAAAGTACTTTCTGAAAAGCAGAATGATAATGAATGAATTCTTTGAGTACTTTTAAAGACATTAAAATGTGAAAAACAAATTTCTTTTTAGAACTATAGAAGTACTAAGTACTGTGATTTTTATAAATATTGACCCATAAGCCTTTGCCTAAAATTTGTTAAAGAAAGAAAGAAAGAAAAGGAAAGGAAACAAAAGAAAAACACACCAGTGTGGATGGGTTTAGGCATTTTTTTTTAAGATTTTATTTATTCATTTGACAGAAATCACAAGTAGGCAGAGCAGCAGATGGGGGTGGCCGGGGGGGGGGGGGAGAAACAGGCTCCCCACTGAGCAGAGAGCCCGATGCAGGGCTTGATCCCGGGACGCTGAGATCATGACCTGAGCCAAAGGCAGAGGCTTAACCCACTGAGCTGCCCAGGTGCCCCTGGAGATTATTTTTTGATGTGTAAAACTGTTGTCTCGTTTCTCTCTCACCATTTCCCCTACCCCCCGACATTATATGCAAATAGTGTCAAAAATCAGTCATATAGAAGCTTTGTGACCAGAGGTTGTGTCCTTTCACATTCGTAGAGGAAAATTCCTTATTCATGTAGCAGTTGTAGAATTTATAGTTCTAAATAATATGAATATACTGCTACCTTTTGGTTCATCAATTATTTGACTTTGTACTAGAAAGTGGAAATTTTGCTTACTTGTATGACTCCTCCATTTTTCTAATATATTAATAGTTCAGTCTTTATATATCCCAAATAAAGTATTTTCATTATTATGACTGTAAACTTTGTTCCCCATTGACCCAAGTAGCCATGACATGATTGAGTTTATTTCTTACACTAATTTGTTGTTATTCCGGAAGTCAATACTGTCCTCATTTTCTTGAAGCATCTGACTTAACTCTGTAAAGGAACTTAGAATTTTCTATATGATGATACGGTAATTCCTCAACCCTGAAGATGCTTCTAAAATCCTCTGTCCTCCAGTGTGGAACAGTTTTCTGCCGGTTATGTTGCTCAGGTGTCAGCCATGCATTTCTTGCCCTTATCCAGAAATTTGCTTTTGTTATTTCTGTTTCCTAGATTCATTGTTTTACTCTTTTTTGGTTTTCTCTTTTGCTGTAGTGAAGCATGGATTTTGTAGGAAGTAACATTTTTTGAGGCTCAGCCAGTGTTGTTTACCCTCATATTTGTTGCACTAATAATTTAGCAAGATAGTTCCTTGTTAAAAAATTTTTAAGTAATCTCTACACCCAACATGGGACTCGAACTCACAACCCTGAGATCAAGACTTGCAAACTCTACCAACCGAGGCAGCCAAGCTCCCCTAGCAAGATAATTCTTGACTGAAGATATGTCACTCAGTTCCCCTAGAGAGTCTCTTAATTTTTTTTAGTTCCATTCGTCCACTAAGGAGGACGATTTTCTTTAAAAGCAAATGTTAAATTCAATAGCAAAATTTCCAAAATAGTCTCTTTAAGATTGGCTATGAATGTTACTTAAAAGGTGTTTAAAGGGTTACCAGAATTTAACAGATTATGTAGTAAATATATTTAAAAAAAATTTTTTTTTTTTAAAGATTTTATTTATTTGCCAGAGATAGAGAGAGAGAGAGTACACACAAGCAGGCAGAGAGGCAGGCAAAGGCAGCGAGAGAAGCAGGCTCCCTGCCGAGCAAGGAGCCCGATGCGGGACTCGATCCCAGGACCCTGGGATCATGACCTGAGCTGAAGGCAGCGGCTTAACCAACTGAGCCACCCAGGCGTCCCTATAAAATGTCTAAAGAGCCGATTTTATTAGGAAATGAATAATCAAATTTGTTTTTCAGCCGTCTCCCCAATTGTTTGAGTTATTCTTCAATTCAAAATTACAGTGTTTCTCTGCTGTAATATTGAAGTATAAAATTGGAAAACGAATCTGACTTTGTGCTACCTGTGACACCTTTGACTAGTGGTTTAGAATCTTTATCATTAGGGTTTCACGATCACGTATGAAGTACATCATGAACAAATTCTTGTAATGGCTAAAATAATCTTTCTTAAATTTGAGTCCATTTACATTTTTACAGAAACATTTTCAGTTGAATTCAAGAGAAACTTTTTTGGGTGGAAGCTGAAGTTACCTCCTTAAGGACACTAGGAATCACACAGGTTGTATTACCTAGCAAGCCAGGTTAATGCTTTGATATTTCATGATTCTGTTTTAAATTCTTAACAGGAACATTTCTTTTTTAAAGTAATGTGTACTTTTTTTTTTTTTTAAGATTTTTTGTATTTGACAGCGCACAAGTAGGCAGAGCAACAGGCAGAGGGAGAGGGAAAAGCAGGCTCCTTGCTGAGCAGAGAGCCTGATGTGGAGCTGGATCACAGGACCCTGAGATCATGACCTGAGCCGGAGGCATAAGTTTAACCAACTGAGCCACCCAGGTGCCCCTTAACAGGAACATTTTTTAAAAGGAAGGCAAAGACACTGGGAAAAAGTGAACATAGCTCTATAGTTTCTGTGAGGGAAAAAAAAAATTGTCAAGAATGATGAGAGTTAGGGGGGTACCTGGGTGGATCAGTTGGTTAAGTGTCTGCCTTCAGCTCAGGTCATGATCTCAGGGTCCCTGAATTGAGGCCTGCATCAGGGCTCCCTGCTCTGTGCGGAGTCCGCTTCTCCCCATCCCTGTGCACCGCTGCTCACCACCGCCCCGCACTTGAATGCTCTTTCCTAAATAATAAAATCTTCAAGAAAAAGAATGGTGAGAGGATTACCAAATCAAATGTAGACAAAGTGATAAAGCAGGTGAAATGTACACTGAGGATATTTTCAATATACTAAAATGAATAAATTTTAGGTATTTCTCTTTAACAAGGCTTATTGTGATTGATAATAAGTACATATATGTTTGGTTTTTGTTCGTGGTTCTTGGCTCACAGCTCCCAAAACTGTTGGAATTTCCCAAGTGATGAGAGCTTAAAGGTGTGTCTTATGTTAGTAAGATGGTTTTGAAAAATACTGAGGGATGATAGCTGGTTACCTTTGGAGCCAATCGTGGATTAGAGGGTTGGAACTTTCTGTCCCCACCCCACCCAACCTCTGCATTGAGGGTGAGGGGCAGGAATTAATCAATCACGCTTATGTAATGAAGCCTCTCTAAAACCCTACAGGGGCAGGGTTTGGAGAGCTTCCACGTTAATAAGTGGAGATTGGGGAGAGTGACCCACCTGGAGAGGGCTTGGAAGCTCCTGCCCTTTCCCCATACCTCGCCCTATGCATCTCTAACGTCTGGCTGTTCTGAGTTGTATCCTTTGGTAATGAACATGTAATGTAGTAAGTAAAATGTTTCTCTGAGTTCGTGAGCCACTCTAGGAAATTAATTTAGTGGAGAAGAGTGTTGTGGGACCTTCTGATTTCTAGCCAGAGGTCAGAAGCACAAGTAACAGACCAAAGGAGTCTGAAATGTGTGGGGGGAGTAGGGGGGGTAGGGAGGTGGCAGTCTTGAAAGACTGAACCCTTAACCTGTGGAATCTAATACTATCTGCAGGTAGATATTGTCAGACTTGAGTTGAATTGTTAAATGTTCAGCAGGGCACTGCTTGTATGTGTAAGAACTAAACCCGCAATACACATTGAAATTGGGTCCAGAAAACCAAAATATTTATACTTATTCAGTGCTATCTGGTCACCTATTAATAGTATCTGAACTGGAGAGCTAGAAAAGTCAACTTATTTTTATAAAATAGTAATTTTTAAGTTAAAATATTAAAAATACAATGTATTACAATAATATTTAATATTTTAAAACTGATTCATTAGATACATAAATTTATATATTTATAAATTACTTTTAAAATGTTTTAACAGAAGAATCTCATATCTTTGTACAATTCTTTTGTGAATAGTGTCCTCCTAACACCACCCCGGAAATCCTTAGTGCTTCTTGCTTTATTTTTCTCCGTACAACTTAGGAAAGGGGGCATGCACCATAGGAGTGTGCACATGTGATCATAATCCTTTTTGCAGTTTGGCAAAAAGAAAATGTTGAGAACCTCTGCTTTAGAGCGTAGCTACTAGCCTTGTTGGGGATGAAAGTGGAGTACATGTGCTTTTGAACTCTGAAGTTTGCCAGACTAAAAAGTAGTGTTTCTGAAAACCACTGTTTTGTTTTTTTTTTTTTTTTTTTTTTAATTTTTTATTTATTTGACAGACAGAGATCACAAGCAGGCAGAGAGGCAGGCAGAGAGAGAGGAGGAAGCAGGCTCCTCACCGAGCAGAGAGCCCGATGCGGGGCTCGATCCCAGGACCCTGAGATCATGACCTGAGCCGAAGGCAGCGGCTTAACCCACTGAGCCACCCAGGCGCCCCAGAAAACCACTGTTTTTTATGAACACTTCAAAAAAGTATTTGTAGTTGAGTTTCGGCAGGATTCTGTATTCCCTACATTTTCGAAGCCCTACAGCCATTTCTCATCCCCACAGGTATGTAAATTAAAATGAAGCCACTTCAGAGTATTTGAGTTTCACAAGTAAGATTTCCTGTTTTCTATTTATGCATAGAGTTAAGAGACAGTATTTTATGTCTCTGCACCTGCTAAAGCAAGTTGTCTGTGATTTGACAGGTTTAATTAATAGATTTTCATGGGTAGATAGGATGAATAGTTCCTATTCTTTAAAATCGTTTAAAAATACGTCATTGTACTACAGCTTTTCTTAAGAGTTCTTAGTTTAGATGTAAATGAAAAAAATATAATAACTTAGTATAATTCTATCTGTCTATATGTTTTAAGATCCAGAACTAACTAGGAATAAAAGCAAAAGAAGTGTCTGGACTGAGCTTAGAAACTGATTTCCCATATGATCCTAGATTGGTGGCCTCTGAATATTTAATCATACATCTTGTCAGTGAAAGAACTTCTGCGTATACCTATAAATGTATGCTTATAAAATACATACGTTCACTACTATACATTATAAAATACACATAGGAAAAAAACCAAAATATAAAGGATGGTGAAGATATTTTAAAATATTTGCCATTAGATGGCTTCATTAAGCTAATATTTCTAAGACATAAGATTTATCAGTAATATTAGATATGAATCCACTTGAAGTACTTTTTACAATTACATTTTTTTGTGAAATCTGACTAGATCATTGGTTTTCCTTCATAATATTTGTGAGAATATACTATGCAAAAAAGAAAAAAAGTATAGTAAGAGTATTAAGAG